GGAAGGACATACAGGCTGCCGTGGCTGCTTTAGACCCATTTTAATGTTACTCTGTAGGTCTTGTGAACCAGTCTTGCTCCCGGTAACTTATGAATGGAATTTTATCATCAGAACACATGCATGATTGTCTTTGATTCTTAGAACGTGTCAAGGGGGAAAGGTAAGAACATAAAAGGGTTCCAGTTCCTGTGAGGATACCTGGCAAAAATAAGGGCCAAAGGAGCTGAAATATTTTCCTTTTTCCATATCCTCAAACCTTGTCTCTTAATGCCTTAGTGAGGGTTACTGTTGCTGTAATGAAATACCATGACCAAAAGCAATGTTGGGAGAAAGAGGTTTATTTGGCTTACATAACTTGAATCACAGTCCACTGAAGGAAGCCAAGGTAGGAATTCAAACCTGACAGGAACCTGGGGGCAGAAGCTGATACAGAGGTCAGAGAGGGGTGCTGCTTACTGCCTTGTTCCTCATGGCTTGCTCAGCCTGCTTTCTAATCAAACCCAGGACCACAAACCCATTGGATGTCACCACCCACAATGAGTTAGGCCCTGGTGGACCCTCCCACATCAATCACTAATTTAAAAATGCCCTACAGGCTTGCCACATGCCTGATTCTTTTGGAGGCATTTTCTCAACTGAGGGAAACTTGTCAAGTAGGCATAAAAACTAGCCAGCACATTTGGCCAGTTTCTTCTACTGAGAGTTGCTCTGATCATGTGGCTATTCATATTAATGAGTAGTATTAATGACACTTATTGTTGAATGTTTATGCCAATGCACATGTGGTCAGCCATTACGGCACACCTCATTTCATCCCCCCAAACACCTCACAGAGAAGGCACCATTTTGTAAGTAAGCAAACAGGTTGAATGGCATGCTCAAAGTCATACAGTAGGAGGATTGAGAATTAGGTCCCTTCAGTTCATGAAGTCTGCCTGCATGGCCTCGTTTCTGCCCTGCAATGACAGTGCATGCCCCCACCTGTGGCTCAGTCCCGCTCATCAGTAGATGCTTAAGGTTCCTATGTTAATGCGCCCAGGCTGCAGTTGCAAAATGCTGGGTGGCTTGAGCAACATAAGTGTCTGTTTTCAGCTAGGAGGCTGATAATCAAGGTGTCTGTATGTGTGTCCTCAGAGACCTGTGTCCTTGGCTTGCAGACTAGTATCTTCTAGTTGTCAGAGCTTCTTCATCTCGTAGGAGCCCATCATATGCATTAGGACTTGTTTGAGACATAGTTTCTCTGTGCTGTCCAGGCTGGTCTCGACCTTTCCAGCTCAAGCAGTCTCCTTGCTCCAGTCTTGTGAGCAGCAGGGACTTCAGGTGTCATTGCCATACCTAGTCCAGGGTTCAAATTCAATCTCGGTGACCTTTCGAATGATCTGTCCTCTGAATATGACTGCATTCTAAAGTCCTGTGGGGGAGGACTTCAATTGAAGTTTGCTGGGGGGGACATGGGTCAGCCCACAGCAGTCCTGTTTGTCAGGTAGCCATTTTGATGGGTGGCACTCAGCTTGCTGAGCTGCTGTTTGACTGCTGCCAGTGCTAAGAACATGAAGGAACTGGTCCTTGAGGTTACCTGCTGTCAGGAGCCACACCTTTATCTACAGGGTCTGCGCCTGGCCTGCCTGGACAGACCTGTAACCTGCTGGAACCTTATCTTCCCTATTGTGGAGTGGAGTCAGGCCTGCCTTGGATAGATGAAATGCTTTCTATTGAAAGTGCTGGGGCCGAGGACATTCCCATCATCCCAGCACTAGGGAGGCAGAGGCTGGCAGATCTCTGTGAGTTCAAGGCCAGCCTGGGCTACAAAGGCAGGGCAGCCAGAACTATGTTACCAATATTACCAGAACTATTGTTACCAATACCAGGTCAGCCAGGGTTACATAGCGAGTCCCTGTCTTGGGGGACAGGGGAAAGAAGACAGACTGTAAGATCTGAGCTGGGTGGGAGGTTCTGACTTACATCCAATGCTTGATCCATGGTCCCCAGTGTAGAGGAGGAGCCTGGGGAATAACATATAGCTGGGTAAAGCCCACCACTGAGAAGTGACTCTCTCAGCTGACTTCTCCAGGGCTATTTCTGCTTCTCTGTCCTTTTGAGGGACATGCTCAAAAGGGCTGCTGGCGGCTGTTTCTTGCAGATGCAGAGGACTGTGTCCTTTCCCCCTCCAGGCAGCTTCATAGGGGTGGGGGTTGGGGGGTGGGATGGAGGCTGATACTGATTAAAGGGAAATTGCCCAGCAGATGCTTGGGTTATGGTGACCTTGAGGAAAGTAGCTTAAACTAATTTTTCACTAGGATGGAAGTATTACTTCAGTGTACAGCAAGTTGGAGAATAAAGAAATCAGGGGCGGGAGCAGTGGCTCAGTGGTCAAGAATGCTTGCTCTTCTGACAGAGGATCCAGATTCAGTACCACATGGCAGCTCACAGCTCTCTGTAACTCCAGCTCCAGGGGATCTAACATACTCTTCTGACCTCTGCAGGTACCAGATATGCCAGATATGCAGACAAAATATTCATACACCTAAGACAATAAATTGAGAGAAGGGGGAGAGGGATGGGTGGGGCACTAGAGAGAGCTTCGTGTTTAGCAATGAGAAATGTTCTTACAGACAACCCATGGCAGGTGGTTCACAGCCATCTTTAACTTCACCTCCAGGAATACCATGCGTTCTTCTGGAGGAAACATATTCTTAGCACTTAGGAGGCTGAGGCAGGAGAATTGTTACCAATACCAGGTCATCCAGGGCTACATAGCAAGACACTGCCTCAAAACTATGAAACAATTAAGTAAATAAGTAGGTGAGGCACCCATGTTCATTTACTCCATGTGCCTTCTGGAGCTTCGGGAAAAGGCTTGGAGGGTGTTCCTGTTTGAGTAGGCATAATCAATGTGGTACAGTGTGACAGGGTGCACAGTACAGGGCAAGCTACCTTCAGCCACCCTGTATGCAATCTTCATGCTTTCTTCTACACTTGTGTAAGCATTTCATACACTCCCCCATCTTTAAAGCCAAAAACCTTTATAGGCAGTACATACAAAATGTATTTGTGAATTTTAATTCTTACATAAGTAACAGGTGGCAGAACACCAAATTAGTATCGCCTGTAGTGGTTACGGATAACCCTTTTATTCCATTTCTTCCCCTTCTTTTCCTCTTTTCTTTCCTCCTTCTTCAGGATCCTGGATATCCCACACTGGCCCCAAGCCCCAGTGTAGCTGAGGATGGCCTTGAACCTCTGACTTTTCTGCCTCTATTTTCCAGATGCTGGGATTACAGATATGCACCACACTCCTGGTTTATGTGGTGTTGGGGGTCAAGCCCAGTGTCTTGCATATGCTAGGCTAGGCAAGCCCTGTGCTAACTGAACCACATCCCCAGCCTGCTTTATTTTCTGAGTTTCCACAATGAATGGGGTCTTCACAGAAGCAGGTGGAAGAGAGCATCCAAGACTTCAGAATTTTAGAATTAATGTTCTTAATCTGCTTTCATTAATTCATTTCTTGTATTTCATAAACATAATTGGGGCGTGTCTCATAAACATAATTGGGGGGTGTCTATCTGTGCGCATGCCTGTGTGCATGCATGTGTGTTTTTATTTGACAACTTCATATAGGGACATAATGCATTTTAATTCTACACACACACACACACACACACACACCACACACACCATTTCCCTCTCTGGTCCTCTCATTCCCTCTGGACCCTGCCTTCCCATCAATCTTTCTCACCACTTCCATGCCTTTTATTTTATTTCTTATGATTCATGGAGTTTAATTAGTGCTGCTTTCGTGAGCTTGAGCAACTCACTGGTGGCTATGACACTCGAAAAAATTATTCCCCATCTCCCAACAGCCAACTGCCATTAGCTCCTCAGTTAGGAGCAGAGCCTTAGATCCTTTCTCTCCCATCCTTGCTGGAATGTTGACAGGCTCCATCCTGCGCAGGTAACCACAGCTGCTGTGAGTTCAGGAATGTAATGGCCATGTCCAGTCCAGGCAGTGTCGCAAGCCTCCAGCTCTTACAGTCTTCTCGTCTCCTCTTCCAGGAGATGTGCATGTGAAAGGAGAGAGGGAGGTGTGCTGTTTAAGGCTGAGCACTCAACAGTAATTTATTCTCAGTACTTTGACTAGTTGTGAGTCTCCACATTAACCACTGCCCACTCCAAAAAGAAGTTTCTCTGACCAAAGTTGGAAGTGGGAATAATCTTAGGGAATAAACATAAACATTTAGAAGGCAGTTTAGCAACATGGCTGTTTAGAAAACAACAGAGGCAGGTTCTCCTGTAGCAGTATAGTTTACAGTACTAGGTATGAATGGCTCCTAAGGAGCAGGCCTCAAATTGAATCAGAAAGTGGTTGGTGACCCCCATAGCAATCATGCCACTATTGCAACAGTGGATACCTCTTGCCTGGCAGGTTGTATGGTATATGCAGGGTCCACTGTTGGGTAATACATTCATAGCTTCTCTCCACTCAGCAGCCTGCTAGCACATTCCAGCACTATAGAGGCTTGACCTCAGAGAGGGCACTTCGGTTATAGTTCAGTTTTCTATGTCCTGCAGTCAAAGCGTGTGGTGTCTTTAGCAATAGGGTTTTGCCATTTAGGAGGTTATATTTTAGACACAATATAGATCTTGTCTGATTCTCATTACATGCACATTTAAGCTTGGAATCTGTAGATTATTCAATCAAGTAGAAACCCCGTATTTGGCATAGCTCTTTTGAGGGCCAGACAGGAAGGTAATTTCCATTATCTCACTATAAAAACAGTATAAAACCATACTGACCAACTTATAAAACAGACTATAGAAATGTTGATCTGAGAAAAAAATTATGATGGAATTTGAGGTTTTATGTTCTGATGAATGGGGATGTAGTAGACACCAGCACTCGCTTGTATCTAGTGAATGAGGGACATAAGTGCGGCAGTGTATTCCTGTAGAATTGTAGGTGACTTCAATAAATGCTAACAGTAAAAAAATGGGGAATTTTTAAAAATAGGAAACATTTCACAAATTTGCATGTTATTCTCCTGCAGCAGCTATGCTAACCTCTGTATTCTTCCAATTCTAGTATATGTGTTGCTGTGTTGTTTAAAAAAATATTTTATGTGAATGGAGTTTTGCATGCATCTAAATTAGCCAAGTGAGTCCAATGCCCATGGATGCCAGAAGAGGGCATCATGTCCCCAGAACTAGAGTTACAGATATTTGTTAACAACTATGTGGCTGCTGGGAACTGAACCCAGGTCCTCTGTGAGAACAAGTATTCTTAACAGCCGAGCTATCACTCCAGCCCCAGGGACAAGGGGGTTATTGTAAGGCAATGACAACCTGTCCAGAAGGACCTCAGAAGACATTGAAAAATGCAAGTGTGTCACACATTGACAGCTTCAAAGACTGGGGAAGGGTCTGCTGGTTCATTAGTTAAAAACACCAGTCCGTAGCGAGATCTGGTGCCCTCTTCTGGCCTGCAGGTTACATGCAGGGAGAACACTGTCTACATAATAAATACATAAATCTTTAAAAAAAAAATAAACAACAACAAAACACCAGGCTACTTAGTGATCCACACAGTTGTGCAGCAACTCGCTCTGGCTTTGCACCTTGCTGAACAGTCAAGTGGCAGCAATACATTCTGGGTCTGCAAAGCAGGGGAAGAACAAATGTCAGAAGGGCTGATTGCTCTCTGACTGTGCACTGTCCAAATACATGACTCCTGGGACCATGCCAATTTGTGGGAGGCCAGAAGGCTTCTCTCTTTCTTTTTGGCTAGACTCTTCTTTGGGTGTTGAATGGCAAACAGACTTTCTCTGTGAAGTGTCTCTTGTTATTCTAACCTGCAGCTCTGTACGATCTGGACCCTGTCAGAACAGCCTGTTTTTACTCTGAATTTGGAGCCACCGCTCTCTTTCCCTTTCTGCTCTGAGCTGTTTATATGGCAAAAAGCTTGTATAGAGGAGTCCTTCCCCTCCTCACTCAAAACTTGAAAAGGAAAGCAGCATCCTTTAGGACTCATAACAATGAGATTAAAAAAAAAAAAAAAATTTAGCCTAACGGGGATGTCTGTGCCAGGCAGTGGATTCAGAGGGCTGTGAGAGGCTTAGCTAGCCAGCCCTCTGCAGCTCTTGCCTTTTTCAGGAGCCTCTGAGGAAGGGGCTCCTTTTTCCCCCACATGAGATAAATCCCAAACACGCTCTGTTTGTCCACTCATCCTTGTGGCTTGTTCAGCCAGTTATTCATCACTTGATGAGTCCAGCTATCCTGATACCCAGTGAGTAAGACCTGCTTCCTTCCTGGTTAGTAAGGATTCAGTGGGGGTAACAGGGTTAACACACACGATTCCAAAATCGCTTATTATATGTGGTGTGTGTGTGTGTGTGTGTGTGTGTGTGTGTGTGTGTTGCCACAGCATGTATGTGGAGGTCAGTGAACCATTTGTAAGAGTCATTTCTATTCTATCGTGTGGATTCCAGGAATTGAGCTCAGGTCATCTTGTCTGGTGGCAAGTGTCCTTACCCACTGAGCCATCTTGCCAGCCTACTCAAGCCATTTCAAACAGAAATTCAGAGCTTAATTCAGCTGGTTTGGTGCTTGAATCAGTATTGATGGAGGAGGGGCCAATTGAAGACTGACTTGGACATGATAGCTAAATGGACTGATGTAACTGCAGGTCTAGTCCTCTGCCTCTCCCCATACCTCTTTTAGCTCTCCTTGTCCTGTGTTCTCAGCTTCTCTTCTACCAGTCTTAGCATCACCCTGAGTGTTGAACTGTTTCAAAGGATTTATGGGTTATGAAGTGTTAACATCAAGTCTGTTGTTAGTAACTATGGTGTGCTGAGCATGTGTGACCAACTGTGTGTTAGACACGCTGTATCCCAGCATTCCCTCCATGGGAGTTAGATTACTATCTGTATGTAAATCAGAAATATAAAGCTCATAAAAGGTGACTTGCCCAAGACAGTTTAACTATAAAAGACTTTTGAATTCAGATATTGGCCCTGTCCAGAGAACTTGCAGTTAAATTTTTAATATTTATCTGTTTTTCTTTTATATGTTTGGCTACTTTGCCTGCATGTGTGTGCAGTGCCTTCAGAGGCCAAAAGAGGGTGTTGGGACTAGAGTTAACAGCTGGTTGTGAGGCATCACACGGTTGCTGGGAATCCCCTGGATGAACAGCCAGTGTGCTATTTACTGCTGAGCCATCTCTCTAGCTCCTAGGTCTTGCTCTCTTTATTTAAACCTTAGTTGGGCTAAATAAGACATATAAATGTCCATTGGGCACATGGGAAGATGTTCAATTAATGCCATTAGCTATTGTTAGGAAAGTGTGATGATACTTCACACACAGATGTCTCTGCAGTGGTCCCGTTATCTGCTGGTATGTTCTCAAAGTTCCAGTGCTACCATAAATCATAGATGGTACTCACCACCGCCATAGGGATGGTGAACCCCAAAATCCTGTGCTTCTCCCCTTGGGCTCTGTAGTGCCGCCACATGGCACCAGAGTACAGCTGTCTGCCTTCTCACACCTTGCTGCCTGTTTGGTTTTTGGTTTTCAAGACAGGGTTTCTCTGTGTAATGATCCTGGCTGTCCTGAAATTCACTTTGTAGACCAGGCTGGCCTTGAACTCACAGAGATCTGCCTGCCTCTGCCTCCCAAGTGCTTGGATTAAAGGCATACACCACCACCTGAGCCTTCCATGTTCTACATTTTAAAGATGAGCGGTTCTTGTGAGGAAGACACTGAGGAAGCCGGTCTGGTACATCTCAAAAGTTTAAATGTAGAATTTCCGTAAAACAGGTGAATTCCACTCCCAAGAGAAATGAGAACATAAGTTCCCGAAGAAACTTTCATTGTCCACGGAGGTATTATCTGGGACATCCTAAAAATGAATACAGCCAGATGTCTGCCAGCTGAGTGAAAAAAAGGGGGGGGTATATCTTTGTACAGTGATATATTACTTGACAATGAAAAGGAGCAAAATATTGAGAATGTTATAAGGTTGAACCTTAAAAGACTTATTGATATGCTCCTGCTAATATTCAGAAGAGAAAAAATTTATGAAGATAGAAAGTAGATTAGTTGTTGCCCAGGGATGGAGTGAGGGGTTAAAGGTTAGAAGATTGGGTGGAAGGCCTTTTTAATTTTATTTTTTAAGACAGAGTCTTGTTGTTACCCAGGCTAGTCTTGTATTCAAGAGGTCCTTTTTCTTAGCCCTCTTTAGTTGCGCCTACAGACATGAGGCAGGATGGGATAGGAACATGTTCTTAGGGGGGCTAACTGATTGATGTGATGGCTGTACCGCTCTGAATGCACTCAAAGCTATTGCATCGTATTTATAAAATGATGACTTGATTGACTATATCTCAATAAAGCTGTCCTCTATGCTCTCTCCACCCAGCAAACATGTTGAAAAGAACCTTGTTCATCTAAATGATGAGTTGCTAATGCTAGAATCGAGATGAGAGTGGTTAAGGGAAGGGGGAGGTTTCTGTTCCTCCAGGTCTCACCGTCCTAAGCACACAGATACTATTTTAATTATAAAACTGTTGGCCGATGGCTAGGACTTCTTACTGGCTAGCTCTGTCTTAATTATTAACCCATTTCTATTAATCTAAGGGTTTCCAAGTGGTCTTATCTTACCTGAGAAGGGTCCGGACCTGTTACTCTTTCCTCTGCTACATGGTATCTCCTCTCTGCCTTCCTCTCCCAGCCACCTCCTGGTCTGGTAGCCCCTCCTATTGGCTATTGACCAAACAGTGTTTTATTCATCAACCAGTAAGAGGAACATATATATAGAAGGACATTCCCCATCAGTTAAGTCCCACACTTTTTTTTTTTTTTAAAAAACTTTTGACTTTTATTAGTTCATCTTCAAAAAAATCAACCAGGGTAAAAAGGGCTTGCTTTAGCACAAAATTAAGTATTTAGCTTTCATATGACAGTGTCAGTAGACCTAGAAGTAATATTACTCCCTCAGCTTTTCTTCATTACTTTTTGCATATTACTTTTTGTAAATAAGCAAAAAATAAGCTTTCATGCAATATATATTCCATTGGGTTATGCATGGCTTCCACATGGTGAGCAGCTTAATAATCAAATTTAGAATTCCTGTTCTGGGAAAATAGTTTTCTTAGGGCAAAAAAGAAAAAAAAAAAAAAAACAAAACAAAACATAGTGAGTGATCTAATAGGTGGTTGTCCACAAACTGGCCTAACAGACTCAGTGACCCTCAGTGAGGGTCCTACTTTGGAGCCCCCTACCTTTTATCTCCTCCTTTGTCCCTGCCCTGCCAGACCACTAAGAACCTTGACCAGGTCTTCTCATTACTTTGATTTGTATAAATTTGATTGAACTTTGTGACAAGTGGGAGACAGATGATCTTGACGGTGATGAAGGTTAGTGGTCAGATCAAGAGGAGGAGATGTAACAAGCCACATGAGTCCAGGAAAGAATGTCACAGTGCCTGTGCTCCTAAGACTTTGTTTCACTGTCTTGTCCAAGCATGCTTGTTTAGGTCAGCATTGCACATACTGCATGCTTGAGAGCAGAATGTGTAGTCACATAGCCAGAACCCAGCTGAAGGTTTAAGCTGTGAGAGCTGAAATATGCACAGTTCCTTCCTATCTCACAGAACCTTGGCAGCATGGAATATGAGCTGCATTTCTTGGGCTCCCAGGTAGCATCTCTGGAGCTTCAAAGCCTTCCTGTTCAGTTTGTGCAGGGCTACCTGACTGCATGTAAAGTGCCATGATGGAGGGGAACGGGGACAGCTCCACTGAGTGCCTGCCCCATGCACCTCATCTGCTGAGCTATCAACACTTCCCTGCCTGGCCATAGCTCTGTGGCTCCCTGTTCCACCCGAGACCCCAGAGCAAGATTCTGGTCCATTCCTTAGGCTTACTGAGTGAGGTTCTTTGCCTTTGACAAGTCACCCTTCCTGAGATTTTCCCCATCTCATTAAAAACAGCGTCTGTCTTTATGTATTCAAATTTGCACGTATCACTGTGCACATGTGGAAGGAGGTAAGAAAACAACTTCCAGGAGTTAGTAATCTCCCTCCATGAGTCCTGGGGTGTCAGGCTTGCCAGCAAGCAC